GGTTGCCAGATACTAGTTTCTATCAGAGTGTTTGCATCAAAGCATGAGCGTAGCATCGCCCGTGGGAGGAAGAATGGAGGGGGAGGAAAAAAAAAAAGAAAAAATCAACGCCTACGCCACACTAAAATCCGGCGTTGAATATATTGAAGGCAAAAGTCAAAACACAAAAACATACGAACGGAGAGCTTGGCTGCCGTCACTATGTTCCTTGATAGGCGCCGCTCGCGTTTCACTCACGTGGAGCCCATTAAGTGTCGGGCCGGCGGGAACTGGGGATATTAGCGGAGGCCTAGAATAGTAGACCCTTCCTTTTCAGGATAAGGTTTGACGCGAAATTACGGCAGGCTCTCGTGTTTTCTCCAATCCAGTACGCCCTGCCGACATATTTCCGGTTTCTCTTTCAAAGAGAAGGACGTGTTTCTTGGCAGTGACAGCTACGGAAGGCCACCAATCCTCTTTCTGGGGTCCATTTCATTTTTTTTTACTCCCTGGCTTAGAAATCAAAGCATAAAAAAGATTGGGAATCCGATATGTTCTCTTCTCTTTGGCAAGCCATCTAATGGCACAATCATATGTATTGATCTTCTGATCTTCCAGTGAGAAGTTCATTTTTTTTCGTTCCTTATCCACCGTGGGCACTGACGCTACCCTTGTGGTGTGTAATCGCGTGGCTTTGAGCCTCATTACAGGCTTTTACTTTCACCCTGTGCGTAATCCATTTCAACCTTTCCAATCTCCATCCCATCGTCGATGGTCGCGAGCTCGACAGGCGACCTCTACTCTCCCTTTCAACCAGGCATGGCCAACGAAGACGGTCCCCAGTCGAGTTCTGATGGGTCAGGTCTTCATTCTCCAGTTTTCGGAGCTCACTATCCCCCTGCGAACGGTGACAATTGTAAGTTGTTGCCATCGTACTCTTTCCTTCCCTCGTAAATCCTGTTCTCATCTGCTTCCGTAATAAAGTCCGGTATCAGCAGGATCAACTTCATATTCAGCAAGGAGTTCACGCCGCCCAATTTGAATACTTGCCGACGCTAGTGCAACAACCTCCGTTAATTGACACTGCACTAGAAATGCCGAGCCCCGCATCTGAAGACCTTGCATTTCATGGCGGGTTCTCCGCCTCGCCGCGCACACACCTTCGAGGCGATTACCACGTTCCGCCTGCACGACTTCCGCCCCCCCTCAGTGGCCCTGTTGCCGACTACAGATATCAAGGCTCTTCTGAACGACGGTTGCCTAGTGGGACCCATGACTCAACATATCACCGTGTTAGCGGAGGCATTCCATCCGTCTCCATCGATGACGATCATCGACACCCTCCGATTTCGCCAACAGAACGTGCAGAAGTTTCTCCAACAACCAACCCTACTAATCCTATCCGGGAGCCTCGGAGGGAGATCTCTACCGTTGTCATAGCTTGTCGCCAGTGGTGAGTCATCGTCCTTCCCTTGCATCTCCCAACTTTCATTTAGCCATTTTGCGCAATGTTGACCCTCTCTATCTGTTTTTCCCTTTAGCCGGGGCCGCAAAATACGATGCGACTCTACAAGACCCGTTTGCAACAACTGTGTCCGGCGGTCAAATGTCTGCGAGTATGATGCAGTTCCGAAACGTAGAGGACCTGATAAGCGTCCAGGGACTCGTCAAAGATCTTGTAAAAAGAGGCCATCAGACGGCTCAGTTCCTCCTCCTCCGAAAAGAAAACGTACTACAGCCCCGAATCGACCAGACGTCACTTCACCGATTGACGAAGTTATGGGTGGTGGTCCTCTGAAACAATCACCAACAACGAGGCCTGCTGAACGTCAGCAGGGCCAGCCACTGACTACCTCGACGCAGACACCTTCCCCGATAGATATTCGCGGCCCAGGAGATCAGTCAATTTTGGTTAAGGTGGATACTAATATTATTATTTACGCTTGATGAACAACTAACTTGATACGTTCAGTCCGAGCAGTCACCTAATTCTCGTCGATACTATCCGCACGATCCTGCCTCGTATCCCAAACCGCCATTTCCAAGACCACTCGATTTGAACATTCTGCACTCACCCACTCGAGAGCACCAGAAATTTCCTTCGCCAACTTCGCCTGCCATTGAGTCGGACACGCGGATGTGGTGGGACAACTTTCTGAAGACTTACCCGTAAGCCTCGGCCCTCTAGCATTAGCCGCCTTAGTCACAGCCTGCATTCCAGACTACGAGATGTCGCTGACGACCTGACATATCTGTAAGCACAGCCACGTTCCTGATGATTTCATGTCTGACACGGAGTATAGGTTCACCGATGCAGGATACTGGCTGTCCTTCCTCAACATAAAGTTCTTCGTGGACACCTTACTCAATGCGCAAGAGCGTATACGGATTCAACCTGCCTTTGTACTAGCTGCCTTAGCTATGTCTACTTTAATGAAGTCTTCTGAGACGGAGTACGCAGTCCAAGGCCGAACTCGTGCCCTCTACCTCCGAAGTATGGCGCAGAACGCTCTGGAGGCCGCATGGGAATCGGAATGGATTGATGCTGCGTTGGCTGAAGCTGCGCTTGTACGTCTTTTTCATTCCCCATGCCTACGTGCCACTCAACTTACTCGTTTTAGATACTAGCACTCTTCGAGACCTCCGTTCACCCCGAATACAGCCCGACACGCGTCGAAAACGCACTTATATTTTTGGATACCATCGTTCGCCGTCTTGCATTGACGTCCATCGATACGAATGACCCGGATATATCTTTTTTCCCACAACGCGGTGTCCCTGTCGTCCTCGTACCCGGACTCGACGCCTTCTCACACTCTCCGCACGAGCGTAAATGCTCATGCATACCTACCGACGCCTCCCACCCACCGGATCCTTTCAATACCTGGTCGTACCCCCTACCATGGGATTCTTCGTGGTCAACTAATGAAATCCGCGACGAGGAATGCCGCAGGGTCTGCTGGAGTGCTCTCGGTCTCATCGCCAACTACACTCTACAATGTGCTGCCTTCGATCGTGATCCCCCTAAGCTTTTTTTGAGCAGCCCTTCCAACGTATGTATTCTCCCGCGACCCTATAAGGAGACTTCCCTGACATACTTCTCTATCCAGTATGCACTATTATTCCCGGGCGAAGCTGTCGATCGTACATCTCCCCCTTATCGATCAGCGGATTCACAATCGCAGAAAGAGAGCGTTTGGGCGCTCTATTGCCGGAGTATGCTTCTGTGGTGCTTCTGCGATCAACTACGTCGTGAACCATTTGTGGAGGAAGACAAAGCTGAGTATGCGCATGAAGCTTGGAACGAGACTCAGTCTATCCAGGATTCATTGGATTTGCATGTCTGCAATCTCGATACCGCTGTCATGTACATGTGTCGGGAGTATATCTACAAGTGGATACTGCCCTTTTCTTTACAAAGATATGATCAACTGATGCATCTCCTTCAGTTCTCGAATGGCAATCACACAGGCGTTGCGTAGGTTGGTCCCTTCATCCCCGAATGTGTGCGTGTTCTATTCATTTTATGAAACTCATGTTTCTTCTGCTTTAGCTTACACGGATTAAGCAGTGGAGGCCCCGTTTTCACTCGAAAGCAAGCTGAAGAGTGGAGTAAGCTTCTTCCCCGTCCGTTGAGTCTACCTTTCTTATCTTTATGTTAGTTTATTATCAAGAGCAAATTGTCAAGCGCGTGACGATGTCTATCCAACGTATGACTGGTGCTCAAGGGCATCAGCTGACGCGTCGTCCGTTTCAAGTAACCTGGTTTTCAAATCAACTTGCACTGTAAATCTTGCGTTCAATACATCATATGTACGGCTCTGATTCAAATGATTCTATAGATGTCTTCGCCTTTGGACTAACGATAGGTCCCTATATGGTGCTCTTGAATTAGCCAAAGCTATTGTCATTCCTCTCGACATTGTCAATTCTATATGGCCTTGCCCACGTAGGTGGCGTAACCTTGTCACCCTTAGGCACCATATTTACCCTTCTCCCGATCTCTAGAACATCAGCATCAGTGCGATGACCTGAGGAAGCACTTGATTGAAGCCTGCACGTCTGTGGGCATGGGCCTTCCTTCCCTCACAAATCGGTCTCTTCCGCCTCTAATGAAGACTCATTGATAGATTTCTCCGATAATGACCTCCCTGTTATTCCTGGTTTTGCAATCTCTGCTATCAGTTATGCATTTCTCTACTCAGCTCTACTACGTACATGTATTGTCTTCGTTGCTCATCAGATTGTAGTTTCTAGTTTATATTAGTTTCCCCTTCAAGTCCAGAGTATCTCCATGTAGCACCTCACGTTAAATATGCCGCTTCCTTATAATTCGCCCACGTTTCCTTTAATTACCAGAACGACTGTGTGTCCTTTTGGTACTTAACATGGCGATATCATTTAAGCCGTATTCATTGATGGTTGCGTGTTGGGATACTTATATATCGGCCTTTGTAAGAATGACAGGCACCGATATAGTTGTGGACGGACCCTTTCTATTTGTAGTCAAGAGAGCAAGTAATAGCGGTTGAAATAGAAGCCGTTGTCAGATCAGGGTCCTAAAGAGCGGACCCGGTCTTGCCTACGGATAAGAATATTATGTAGCCTTATGCATCATAAGTAGCCGCCCGAATAGTATATATGGCTCGACTGCGATATCTCCGATTCTCAGAATCATCGATATTTTGGGCGTGAGGTTCTATATATCGTCTATTGATACAGGTTGAAAGGCTTCAAAGTTCTGACTTTTTTAAACGTAGTTATTCGATTGCTTAAATGACATCAACATCGTCCTGAGAGTAGCCTGACTGGTACTAGTACTAGATAATCATTCTTCATATCTCTGAGAAGACTCGGCTAGACAAAGATAGTTGCTTACCCATATTGAGACGATGTCCATATTGATTAGAATGTTACTAGGATCCTAACGGCATCCGTGGGTACAGGCCAACCCTAGGTCGACATAAAAAGTCCAACCACAACTTTAATAGAAATGCTATTACAATGGTGTAATTTTCATGGGCCGTGTGGCGTAATGGCAACGCGTCTGACTACGAAGGTGCTATCAGGAGATTGCAGGTTCGACCCCTGTCTCGGTCAATTAGTTTTGTCTCCAATTATACGATTACATAATTGAAGGCTGGCTTGGATTACCGAGCTGAGCTCATCCCTTTTCTGCGCTGTCGTCAATTCCTAGTTCTTCACTGGGAACCTTCTAGCTACCTAGTCACATTGTTCCTCATTCATTGGCAGTTAACAAGAATCGTGAGGCCTATGTATCCCGTAAAACTGATACGCTCTCCAATACTCCATACGTATCACGATACCACGACGGATGGAGATGCCGGAGGGGTAGTCCTTGGCCCTTGAAGCAAGGCTCCACTATCATTTTCGACCTTTGTTTCATGTCTTGGGCACCCAGCCAGCTCCGCACGAGCAAAATCTGTGCAAACTGTTTATCTATTTCCGACCGCACTGTGACTGATAGAGACTTCTTTTTTTGATCATCTATGATGCCTACTGCGATAACCTTTTTTCTCCTCCGTCCCAACTTTCAAGTAGCAACGCCGGAAGATGTCTTCTCTTCACGAGGAATTGCAGCACTCGGGGATCTTGGCAGAAAAGCAGCTCTCTTCAGTCATAGTCTCTTCAGAAGGAGCCCGGGTCGACAGAGCTATTATCGAGCGTTCGGGAGTCTTCGGCCCGCTGTTATCGAAGCTTTTTGAGAGTGGTGTCGAAGGGAGGGGAGTAGAACGAGTCCTCGAAGATGAACGCGATGGAACGCATACTTGGAACATGTACGCCTCTTCTCTACTAGCATACCGGTTGATGCTGATCTGCACAATGATTAGCGTTTTCTTTTGGACGTAAGCGAAATCTTTCACTCAAGGTACTCGGAGATCTTGATGGTTGATGCATCATGTTTTCAGTTCTGTGAATCTTGTCCTTTCAAGCCTCTCTGTAGGTATTCTTGCGCAAGATATATATTCCCTGACACTTCTGTGAGGTCTTCCGTGGATCAGAGGTTCCTGATGTAATTCCCCCTGTATTGCAGGCATGCGATTGCGGCGATCGTGGTTTTTGGCTTCATGTCAGCGGTGCTCACCTCTCTTGTAGCGACTCTGGGGCCAAAAACCGGGCTTCGCACGATGATAATTGTGCGCTTCAGTTCTGGATACCTGGGCGGGATCATGTATTCCATACTCAACGTTCTATCTCAGTGAGGACATCACTACATCTCGAGCTCTTCGCGCTCATGTTCTCTGTGCGTAGACTCGGATTTGCAGTTACGTGTATCATTCTTGGCGGTCAAACACTCGCGTCCGTCAACAGGGGCGCTCTTCCTCTTGTCGTCGGTGTTATCGTTGTTTCTATTTGTAGTCTTATCCCGTGTTTCATTGGACATGACGTGGTACACACTTACGAAAGATATGCGTGGGTGCCCCTCCTCGTGGTAATGTTTTTTCTCTGGGGATTAGGTGGCCATGCAGGTTTCGATATTCATGAACAGAAATCCGCTGAGGAATCTGGACGGACCCTGACTGCAAATGTGCTGAGCTTTGGCGGAATGGTTTTCGGTTCTACTGCAGGTGTCAGTATTATCTTCGAAGAATGATACTTTTTGGGCTTAACTGCTTCTAGTGGGCGACCCTTTCGGCTGATTATAATTGCCGGCTTCCAGTGAACACATCTGCGACGAAAGTTTTTCTTCTCACTTTTTTCGGGATCTACATTCCGGCTTCTTTCGCCGAGATTCTTGGTGCGGCATTAATGACCATCACAAAACCCGGATATCCCGAGTCCTTTGAAAGCGGAAGTTTGGGCGGTCTCCTCGGCCAAGTCCTGATGCCTTGGAAGGGCTTCGGAAAATTTTTGATTGTGGTTCTAGCTTTGTCTGTCATGTAAGTCATCAGACTTCTCGCATCGAATTTCGGAGTAATGCATTTACATCAGCGCTAATAACATATTGAACACGTACTCTGTCGGATTGTCTATCCAGGCACTTGGCCGCCCGTTTGCGAAAATACCCCGCATATGTTGGACCGTTGTTGGGTGGATTATATACACCGTGGCGGGCGTTGCAGGCCGAGAGCATTTTGCCGAGATTCTATCCAATTTTCTAGCTATCCTCGGATACTGGACATCATTCTTTATTGTCGGCGTACTTGAAGAGCACTATATATTTAGGAGGAGAACTGGGCCGCTCGGTGGGTATAACTTAGACGATTGGGATACTCCCAGAAGGTCAGTCGGATACAATTTTATGTTTCGGTTGTTGAGACCTTGCCGACCTATCTGCCTTAACAGACTGCCGGTTGGAATTGCCGGTATACTCGCAGGATGTTTTGGCGCTCTGGGGGCCATCATCGGGATGTCTGAAGTGAGAACCACGTATTATTAGATTTCTCCATGAAATGAATTTCATCTTTAGGTTTGGTATACCGGTCCAATAGGTAAAATGGCGGGCAACGCGGACGTGGGATGCGAGGTAATTTCCATGCTTACTGTCTATTTGGAATGTCACTTGTTCTAACAATATTTGTCCATAGCTCGCCATTGCGTTCTCTGCTATAACCTATCCGCCACTAAGATGGCTCAAAATACGGATGCTTGGAAGATGATAATATCGACTTCGACACATGAAGGCAGAAGAATAGAGATAATTTATGGAAAAGACTCCCTATATGACTGATGTCCGCCTTCGTTACCCCATTTCATAATTGGCGTCGGACTAACAATGACAGAATATATAAGACGCATTTGTCCACGCACAGAACGGATAGGAACTAAGCATGCTCCGACCAGAAAGGATGACGGGCTCATCCAGTAACCATACGACTTGACCTCAGTACCGAAGAAGTAGGATTTTCTTTGGCGCATTGTCGGTTAAGTAGGACAAATTTATGTAGGTATCAGGTGCTCAATATAGGGTTAAACGAAAGAAGCGCATCAACATGAAGGAGCAAATGGGCGAAAAGAGGCAACGTACAACAGAGAATGCAATGTCTTACGCGTACACTGATATGCAGCGGTTTCCATTTAGACATGCTCATGAGTAGTGTCGGAAAGATCGGAAACTCATATAAGTCGATGTCAGTACCGATCATAAGAGAAAGATCACAATTTTGTACTCTCTGAAGACGCCGAGCTTGACTTACATAGATACCATGCGATTCGCTTGACAAGAGGGGAATTCAAGGGATATCGAAGACACGGGTTGCGTAGGTTAATTCGAAATCGCCCCACTCTTTGCCGCAGCGGATGAAGATTTCGCGTGAGATATCGTTGGATAAAGTAGGAATGAGGTGTAAGAGTGTCTCGATCTCCTTTAAATACTCGGCGGCAACGTCATGTTCGCGAACAAGACCACTGTCGATCTTGCATTTTCAGTCATGTAAACACTGTAGGCACCTTCACGGATTCAACAAGGGATTTCACAGGGCGCCTGGTGCCTGGTGCGAAAGCCCACGAAAGTGAATGGACTATTGCATTAATAAGGTTACTATTGGCGGTGACATTAGCTCTCAGTATTCTGCGTACTTATTTACACATAATTATTATATTAAGTCCTGCGGCGACACATGAGGGCTTGACAACTGAGCCGGAGAAAAAAATCGTGACTTCACCGTCGCGAGTCGCGACAAGGGCGCACCTAGTTGATACCAAACAATGACAAGCAACCGGGTGTTTTCCCGCTTATTTCCCGACTTCCATCATGTCCGTTGAGCTCTTCTTACATCGTGTAACGCATGCTCAGAGGTGCCCACTGAATGTTGCTCATTCCAGTCATTTTCAAGGGCTGAATGGACTATTCGCTCTATCGGCCCATAGAGGGAACAATTCTGTCATCGGGCCGATTCGAGCATCGCTGAGGCTTAACAGCAGCAATTTTACGGAGATGACGCTAAGAAACTAGCTTCGGTTCCCTGGTGAATGGCTGTTCAAGGGGTGCCAAGCATACCCAGCCCTGGCTAAGCCTGAGTAGCTTAGCTGACCAGTCGTAAAGCTCGGCCTATTTCTTCCCAGAGGTCTGGTTCTGTCCAGTTGGGGGATGCTAGAACCGGAAGGCAAGAACATTCGTCGTATTGTGTGATTCAGTCGCATACATCGACCGCTTCCATCTGCTGGAGAGGTGATGACCAATTTCTGCCGCTCGGGTACAAGGACCATGCGATGGAGCCGCATTATATGGTCGGCTCTTTAAATAAAAGAAGCAAACTTTACCCAGTTCTTCCGACAGATGATATTACGCACTCGCGTCACTGAAAAGTGGCATCTGTGGCATCAAATTCGACGTTTCCTCTAATGTTTCCTATGTACTTCAACTCCCTGCCATACGTTCATTTGCTCCGTGTTTTGACATACCTCAGTTCGATGTTTGCTTGATAGCTGCTGTTGGAGGTACAGCACATTTACACCCCCACCTGTCTTTTCTGAATGCATCTGTCCATCTAGCCCATCATCCGCGGAGTGTTTAGGACGGGCTCTTATGTTATTGTAACCACGGGGCCTATCCTCCGGCTTTGCGTAATGAATGTCATCAGGAGCACGGAGAATTTTCCATCCAAAGGAGATTAGTGGGTACACTCTCTTAATCTCTATTTATGTTCAATCCGCAACCTGAAGGTACAACCGGAAGTTCGACCTCCGGATTCTAGACTCCTCAATTCTGTTCCTGAACAACGGCGTAGTTGGCTCCATTTGGCTCCGTACGGTACCCTGTATGCTTCTTATTTTTACCATGACACGCTGTGTTCACGTTATACTGATGTAAGCCTGTGTGACAGCATGCGCGTGTACAAGAGGAGACCTTAGCGCGACCCAAGCAGCTATGGATCAGAAATGTGTTTTTTTGGTGTCTGTACGTAGCTTTCCGCTTTTGTCAGGTTCTTTAGCTTATACTACTACTCTTAATCTTAGTGTTAGAAGTGCATTGAATGTCTTGCCAATGTAGGCCGGTCCGGCCCCCGTCTGCAGCGTGTTGAAGCTGATTCGACTTTGACAATGACATATCATTCAAACGTCCTTTTGTCCAGATTGCGGATGTAAGATCTTGGCCATGTCGCATTGTTATGATTGCTTACGCTACCAATCGCCGG